ATGGACATGATGCTGAAAGTGCTTTTTACCAATCTGTTTGGTAAAAAATAAAACTGTAAAGTGCTTTTATACTTTTCTCCCTAAAAATTATATTAATCTTTGTTTAAAGAAAAAAAATTTCAAATTGAATAAATTCCAACAAAGATAATTATGTATTGAATAAATTCCAACAAAAATAAAGAGATCACCACGGTAGTATCAAGATAGCAGAATTACACAGAGGCAAATAGAAAAGTAAAGATAAGCAGAGAGAATTTCTGATGAATAGAGAGAGAGGAAACTATTGTATTTTCATTGATCTTTGTCTAACACTATTACAGACCTTTATATTAAGCTATAGCTAGAAGCTGGTTCACGTTCTCTAACCTCTCTAACCTCTCTTTCTTTCACTGATCAATGCTAACAGACTTTCTCAACTGTCTAACAAGCCTAACAACATTTTAACCACTTGATTCTTTAATCTCTTGACATGTGGCAAGACTAGGACCTTTGATATCTTTACATTCCCCCTCAATCGCAGGCTTGAAGGAGCCAAGCATAAGATTGGAACCGTGGTGCTGAAATAAAGGAGTTGAAAGACCCTTAGTGAGGATATCAGCAAACTGGTCTGCAGAAGAGACATGCTGGACCAGTAAGTCACTTTGATAACACGTTCTCTGATAAAATGATAATCAATCTAGAGATGCTTCATTCTTGAATGGCAATCTGGAGATGCTTCATTCTTGAATGGAACACTGGATTTGAAGCAAGGGAAATAGCAGAAATATTATCACAATGGATTAAAGGAGGAATATGCAAAGGGATATGAAGATCACAGAACAGTTGGCGAATCCAGGCAAGTTCTGCAGCAGCAATAGCTAGAGCCCTATATTCTGCCTCAGTGGAGGAACGAGAAATAGTATGTTGTTTCTTAGAAGCCCAAGAAATAGGACTTGATCCTAAGTAAACAATAAAACCTAAGACAGACCGTCTATCATTTGAATCACCAGCCCAGTCAGCATCACTATAAGCCTGCAGATTAAGAATACCAGGCTGAAAATGAATTCCAAAATCAAGAGTACCTTTAAGATACCTCAAGATTCTCTTAACTGCGACAACATGAGATTCCATTGGATGATGCATGAATTGACAAGCTTGATTCACGGAGAAGGCAATGTCAGGTCTTGTGAAGGTGAGATACTGCAGAGCTCCAACAATACTCCTGTATTGCTGTGGATGAGAGTAAGGCTTGCCATCATCCTTGAGCAGGTGATGATAGGGAAGACAGGGAGTAGCACATGGTTTTGATTCCTGTAAATCAACCCTAGCAAGTAATTCCTTGATATATTTAGTCTGAGACACAAACAGACCAGAACACTGATAAGAAATCTGCAATCCCAGAAAATAATTCAACTGGCCTAAATCCTTCATATCAAATTCTGTTTTCAATGCTTCAATAACTGATGTAAGAAGAGAGGAATGACTGCCTGTAAGGATTATGTCATCTACATAGAGAAGTAAGACCACAGTGCCAAGAGG